GGGGGGGGAGGTGGTGGACAGGTCACCCACTGCACAGCCCAGGGACACCCTGGGGCCAGGGGGACTTGGGGACATTGAGACAGGGAGACACCAGGACATAGGGGAACCACAGGCACATGGGGACATGGAGACACGAGGGTGGGGGACAGGGGGACATGGTGACATAGAGACACAGGGACACAAGGACAAGGGAACACGGGGATAGGGGGACACCATGGGGACACAGAACACCACTGGGACATGGGGACACCATGGGGACACCATGGGTATATGGGGACACAGGGACAGGGGAACATGGGGACACATGGACATGGGTACACCATATGGACACAGGGAAACCGTGGGGACATGGGGACACCATGGGAACATGGGGACAGTGTAGGGACATGGGGACACTGTGGGGACACAGGGACACCATACGGACATGGGGACATAGGGACACCATGGGGACACGTGGACACCATGGAGACTTGGGGACACCATGGGTACATGGGGACACCGTGGGGACATGGGGACACCATGGGGACTCGGGGACACCATGGGGACAGCGTGGGGACAGAGCCATCTCATGGTTTTGGGGTAGTTTTGGGGGATCAGCACCAAAATGCTGCTCCTGAACTGGGTGACCCCGTCCTTGTCCCCAAGGGCCGCAGGGACCCCATGTCCCCTCCCCGGTGCCCCTGTGGGGACGCTGGGGGGGGACCTGGATGGTGGGGGTCTGGGAGGGGTGTGGGGACAGACTGGGCCAGACTGGGACGGATTGGAGTGGGGTCATGGGGACTAGCCAGGATGAACGGGCCTGCTGGGTGCTGGGAGCCAGGCTGCAACTGGTGCTGGGGACACTGGTGAGCGTGTGACTGCCTGAACTGGTAACACTGGAGGCTATGGGTCAGGCTGGACTGGGAGCACAGGGGGCCATGGGGCAGGCTGGACTGGGGACACCTGAGACACTGGGACTGCCTGGACATGGGATACTGGTTGCTATGGGACAGGCTGGACTGGGGTACATTGGTACAAACTGGACTGGGAGCAATGGTGGCACTGGGACAGCCTGAACTGGGAGTACTGGAGGAGCCTGTACGAGGGGCACAGCGTCAGCAGGGACTGGGGACACCAGCGACCGCGGTCCAGCCTATACTGGGAATACTGGGACAGCCCATACTGGGGACACCAGTGAGGGGACAGTTATACTGGGGGATACTGGTGCCCCTAGCCCAGCCTATACTGGGGATGCTGGTGACCATGGGCCAGCCTGTACTGGGACAGCTGTATCCCTGTATACAGGGGACACCTATACTGGGGACACTGGTGCCCCTAGCCCAGCCTTTACAGGGCACATCGGTGACCCCAGCCCAGCCTGTACTGGAGATACTGGTGACCACGGGACAACCTATATTTGGGACACTGGTGACCCTAACCCAGTCTATACTGGGGACACTGGTGACCCTAGTTCAGCCTATACTGGGGACACTGGTGACCATGGGACAGCCTCTACTGGGGACACTGGTGCCCCTAGACCAGCATATACTGGGGACACTGGTGACCATGGGCCAGCCTATACTGGGGACACTGGTGACCCTAGCCCAGCCTATACTGGGGACTCTGGTAGCCATGGGACAGCCTTTACCGGGTGCATCAGTGAC